ATATCTCTAAATTCTGTCATAACGAAACACGTTATGTCTGCTACCTGGGTTATAGTAGAGTTACCTATGTTATGGTAGTAGCTATCATAATGAAATATATCTGTAAATTCTGTCATAACGAAACACGTTATGTCTGCTACCTGGGTTATAGTAGAGTTACCTATGTTATGGTAGTAGCTATCATAGTGAAACATGTCTGTAAATTCTGTCATAACGAAACACATTATGGCTGCTACCTGGATTATAGTAGAGTTAATTATGACGAAAAGCAGCATATATTAGCAGTTTTTGAACAACATAATCACCGTTGATTCATAACATAGAACTTGACAAGACAAACTATCCTCCAATAGAAGACTTTTATAAATTTGGAGAAACAAATCCCAGCAATAGGAGAAGAGATATATTTACAAGATTCAATCTACATTTGTTTACTTTTGTCCTTTTCACCAGGTTAGGTTGGTTTTGTTGATTATTACTTATCATCAGTAACTCTGGTCAAGAAATAGCTGGAAACGGAAATCAAGGTGTTCAAATTATTATTTTTCTTGTAGTTGAAATTGGTGAAAAACAAAATAGTGAATTTTTTCTAAGGCCATAAGTTTCTTGGTCGGTCATTACCTGCTGAGTTTTTGCGATATACTGGTAAGTTTAGCGAGGAATAAATAACTGAAAAATACAGTCTGGATATTTTACATACATTTACAAACTGAATTTTGTGTGTGTGTGTGTGTGTTAAGATAAACAATAATTCTTCAAGTGACTTTTGGTAAACACAATATTTAAATAAAATGTTGTATATATCTCTTATGATATAAAGTATTCGGAAACATAAAAGGATTAATAGAAACTAACACAAGATATGTTTGGAATAAAATAAATAGAGCTTTGATTTTATTCTTAAATAAATACAAAATAGTGAAACAGAAATGTATTGAAACATCTTGGGCAGTTTTTATTGAAATTTCATAAAAGAAACCCACAGTGGCATTTAACTACACATTTCAGCGCATGTAAGTATTTAACAAAATAAACTATTATACAAATAGCTAATAGAATTTACAGATATGTTTCACTATGATAAATACTACCATAACATAGGTAACGCTGTGTCTATACAGGGATTTAGCATATAAGACATTTGGTTTTAAAGAAAAAATTAATTCGACTGACAGATAGAAAAATAGCATTCACACATTATATAATACTTTTCCTTGTTAAGTTTCTGTAAGTAATCTTAAAGCTCAATAAAAATTATAGCGTCATTGGTGTTAGAATGTAGTACGTGACTTGCTTCATCCTACACACCTCAATTTCTTTGTTTTTGCGTCATTGGTGTTAGAATGTAGTTCTCAACTTGAATGGTCCTTTATTTTTCTCTTTTGATACCTTACAGAATTTGTTTATGATCAGATTATATTTTTGCACATGTATCTCGTTGTTGGTTTCTGTTGAAGGCCATAATGTACCACGTACGTGATCGCCTTTCCTGATGTTGGATAATGGACAGATTTATAATTAGTCAGAAAGATAATTAAGTCTGCCTAGGGTGTGATTAAAAATAGATAAATGTGCTATGAAAAGCATTAACTAGCTAGTTTTAAGGACATGTTTAAATTACTTAACTGAACAACCGAAGTTGAAGTATTTCTTTTTGGTGAAAACAATTTAGTATACACCTTAAAGTGTAGTAGAATAAGTTGCATCGCCAGATGGAGCTACCAACATTGAAGTATCGAATGAATGCAATATGTTTGATTATTATTTTATAGATAATCTTCGAAATATTTTACAAAACTACAAGCTATTAAGTTAACATGGTTTTTGTATTGACATGAATTGAATTTTCACTAGTATATGCGAGCCAGAAGGAAAGTCATAAAGTGAAGCATAATTGTGACTCCTCCCTGCTTGTATCAAACTACTACCTAGGCCTTCAAGGCCTAATGGCCTATTTATTGGGCTGAAGTTTATGAGGTTGCTAACAGAAGATACTAGATGCAAACTCGTCTGAAAGGACCAAATCCTAACTATGATACCTGACCTCACACAGTTATTTGTGAGTTTTCTTATTCATTTTAATGATTGATAAAATATAGCATATCCATTACAATTAACTAATTCACATCAAATAGGTATAAACAAATGAAAGGATATAATATTAGCAAAATCAATAACAATTTTGCCATCAGACAAGTTTTTAAAGTACATAAGCAAACGGACCATTAGAATTATCCGCTGAATTTTTAAAACGTTATTGACATGGATCTTAATGTTATGAAGTTAGGTGTGAGGTAAGATGTGTTGAAGTTGAGATTACAGTATTCTAAGAAAACAATTGGAGTGAGAGGGTATAGAGGCCGCCTTTCTAGGTTCAGCCTATATGGAGACTAAAAACAAAAACTATGGTTATGAAACCTTGTAATCCCATATACAAGAAAAAGGTGCAGTCAGAAAGAAAAAGATCAATTTGGTGTAGGTTTGAGAAAGGAATATTAAAAGACAGGAGTCCAACGAAAGAAAAAAAAAGAAGACCGGGAGATGTGGAAGAGAACGAATAAACCAAGATAGGCGAAGTAAGAAAGTAATATGTTGTCAGCAACAACGAATACTTATTTATAAATGTGTTATTGATTACCAGTAATTTGTTACGCTTACATTGGTATGGGGCAATTCATGGTGGGAATAAGTACAACCTAAATAAAACTGATGGACATAGGAATGGAAATCTAAGTGTGGGTAAAGCAGAATCATAACAATCAAGCACTAATTGAAAGATTAATTACTTAATTAATTAACAGATTGATCTTTACTTCCCGTGTTTCTCACAACGCAAGACTTTTCAGTTTTGCATCTTAGTTCATTACATTAAAACTGATCAAATTCAAACAAGAGATTGATATATTAGAGGGCTTTTTGTAGTTCTCAACATTTCACAGAAAATTATGAAAATGGTAACATTACATATTGTTTACATCAGTTATGAAATCTACTTCTTTTTTAATAGATACTACAATGTTGGTCTCTTCGACTCCTAATCCACGACTACCATTGTTGTTTTTTTTATCATACCCGAAAGACAAGAGATTTATCGGCACTTCTTGGCAACCGAAGCTTTGGCAACCAAAGTCTTGACAACCGAAGTGCTAATAGCTCATCTCTCCCTCCTGTGGGTCAGAGGCTAGAAGTTCAAATCCAGGGTACGATTCCCCGCGGTGGACAGAGAGCACAAATGAGCCATTGTCTAGCTTTGCACTAAAACAAACCAACAAGTTAATAGCTAATTTCAACGGTTATATAGAGTTCATGCCAGGTTTAGTAACAATCGGTTCAGCGGCTTACCAGTTACATGCGGACACACACACACAAACATAGCTTTTTGTTAAATTATGATTGAGACTATGTCGAGTATTACGAAGACATAATGCTTCAACGTCATTTTACAAGAACCATCATAATAACTGCAATCGTTGCAAGAATGAAATATTTCTAATGACAAGTTTATTTAATTAGTCGCGATTAATTTTAATGAAAGTAGGCTTTATCTATTCCACAATCAATTATGATTTAAAAGGGTTAAATTCTTTTCCTTCTCTTACTAAATAGACTATCTGTTTGTTTTTTTCTTGCCATTAGATATTATCTGGATAATTATCATTTTAAACAACAAACCATTCTTTTTTTCACAAACAAATGTATCAACTTAAATTGAACAATATACTTGGAAAATTACATTACAATTTGTGGTGATATGAAGAAAACCTAGAAGCAAAATTTAATCTCCAGTAAGTGTCATTTATGAAATATTTTCGTTTTGAATCTTTTGTTCTTTTTTTCTTTTATTTTTGGTTCACCCTTCTGATCAATTGCCCCCCCCCCCAGTGGCGCATCGGTATGTCTGCGGACTCACAACGCTAGAAGCCGGCTTTCGATACCCGTGGCGGGCAGAGCACAGATAGCCCATTGTGTAGCTTTGTGCTTAATTCCAAACAAACAAACAAATCTGATCAGTTGTTTTAAACAATGAAGAAGTTTCTACTGAAGAGTATAAAAATAGTAAAGTCAGAATAGCTTATTACTCCACTTTATGTGTTTGTTCGTCCGTGAACTACTGCTACAGTTTTTCGAGTAAGCAGGACTTAACTTGACATACGGACTTTGGGTGGGTCGGGGAGTGTACCCTCATACCGAAGAGGCAAAAACGGAGCCCGCAAGATCACCCGTGCATGATGATTGTCTAGGAGTAGATTGTCAGGTTCACTGAACCCGATCATGGAATTCATGGGGAGCCATGTTTGAAACTGTTTTGATATTCATACTCACAAGATAGCGGGATCAAACTTGGCATATTTACTCAGGTGTCTCGGGCGTTTGTCCCAACAGACCCTTCTCCCCTTGGGGTAGCTACAGAAGTAACTGGGGATAATGGTGGAACTTAATCGGTTTTTGTCATGATAGTAATATCAATTTAAGAAATTTTCCAATTTTGAGTAATTTCATTTGTACATTCACAAGCAAACATAAAAATAAGAACTTAAATATTCTATCAAAATTCGGGAATCTTTACAAATTGTAATATGTTAACCAATATTTGTTCCAGAATTTCGAGCGCAGCTACACTAATTTTGAATTAATAGACTATAGGGAAGACAACTAATAAACGGCACCTACCGCCAACTCTAGGGGTATTCTTATCTGTCCGAAATATGAGACGGTCCCAACGAGACGCGAACCAGGAAACATCAGAAACACAGTAGCGATCCTCTAATACTAGACTACGCCAAGCCCTTGAAATTATATAAGAGCCAAGTACTTTCCACCTACCAAACATTAAACTTATCAATAAAAATAACGTTATTAACGTTACACACACACACCTAGGAAATAATATATATATATATTTATATATATCATCTAAACTTTGTTAAATGCGTCAGAATTAAACAAAATGCAATTTAGAAGTTGTTGTCATAAATATTCAGTAGATATAAATCATTCTACCACAAGTTGAAACATTTATTGGAATAAAGCGAAATATTTACATACGAAATTCCTAATTTAGTCTGTGCAACGTATAAGATTCAAAAAAAGTCCTCGTCCAATTTTCAGAGCTTATTTGTCAAATACGGTTGCAACTTCATTTTGAGATGACATTCTCAAAGCACACATTTACAGAAGCAAAAAGAATGCAAATTGCGCATGCGTATTTTACGTGATTTACCCTTTGCAGAATGAAGAAAAATACGGTAAGTACACTTTTATCGGCCGAATCCAATGGCGCGTGATTTTTTCAAGCATTAGACATAGAGTTAAGTGCCATGTTTATCCCGAAATATAGATTTCTTTCAAGTTACGTTCACAGCTTAGCTATTTATTTACTGAGTGTGGAAACTCGGAAGTTAGAGACGGGTAAATTTAGACTTAAAGCAAGCAACTGAAGTTAAGTACTAAGCTATCACAGAAGATAAAATGAAGGTAGAACAGAGTGGATATGAAAAGGAAAGACCTGGGCTGTATCGTTGGACACAAATGTGGGACAAAAGTTGACATATTCAGGAACTGACTTAATTCACAATTACCAGGAAATAAAGATTTAGACATGAACCTGTTATAATATTGAACCTGTTTTCCGAACGAACAGCACTGGAGAAATTAAAACGCTGAAAAGGAACTGTACTGTGATATCCGATAGCTATAAAACTGGCTAAAGATTTTCCCAGTTCTCCATCGTGATCTGACCAAACTAAAAATAAAGCTTTGAGATGAATATGTAGTGTTATCTCGCCTATCTTTCTAATGTTATCTCGCCTATCTTTAGCTGTTTTTGAGAAATAAATAAATAAACTCGATTTTTGTCAAAGAAACATTACAAGTACAAATAAAGATATTTATTGATAGGGTTAGTGTTAGAACTTGAACAGAAGGGGAATATTCTTTCTTATAGAGTACACATTTTCTATTGGAAACGTTAATTTTTTAGCTCATGCAATAAGCACCTGATTTAGGGGTGCTAACATTTATAGAACTTGTCCTTTTAAACATTTCAGCTGTATGTTAGTGTATCACAACTTAATCTCGTGATATATCCAAATAGATGGGTTTTTTTTTGTTGTTGTTGTTAAACGCAGCTTCTGGCACGCAAGACAAACAAACAAACATCAAAACACACTTTTCAAAACCGATCATTTCGTGAAGTTCACGTCCAACTAGATTAGTCTGGAGATAAAACACACGAAATCACGAGTGGAAAAATGTAAGAACACCAAAACACACTTTTCAAAACCGATCATTTCGTGAAGTTCACGTCCAACTAGGTCAGTCTGGAGATAAAACACACGAAATCACGAGTGGAAAAATGTAAGAACACCAAAACACACTTTTCAAAACCGATCATTTCGTGAAGTTCACGTCCAACTAGATTAGTCTGGAGATAAAACACACGAAATCACGAGTGGAAAAATGTAAGAACAACAATGAAGACAATAAACTGATTGAATAAGAACAATATGAACTTCATACATAGTATTACAATAGCACGAGATTAATATAGTGGTACTTCATAGTATTAGCTTAGTGATACTTAATAAGATTAACATGGTGCTATTTAACACCATATCCATATAGTGTTACTTTATATAATATTAACATGGTGATATTTAACATTAGATCTATATAGTGTTATTTTATATAAGATTAATATAGTGTTACTTTAACACAAGATTAATATAGTGGTACTTCATAGCATTAACTTAGTGGTACTTAATAAGATTGACATGGTGGTATTTAATATTAGATTCATATAGTGTTACTTCATATAAGATTAATATAATTGTACTTAGCGTAGGATTCAAATAGTGATATTTTACAAAAAAAATGTATAGTGATACTTTGCATAAGATTAACAGAGTGGCACTTTACACACAATTAATACAGTAGTCCTTTACATAAAACTGATACAGTGATCCTTTACATCAAACTAATACGGTAGTCCTTTACATAAAACTAATACAGTAATTATTTACATAAAACTGATACAGTGGTCCTTTACATAAAACTAATACGGTAGTCCTTTACATAAAACTAATACAGTAGTTATTTACATAAAACTGATACAGTGGTCCTTTACATAAAACTAATACAGTAGTTATTTACATAAAACTGATACAGTGGTCCTTTACATAAAACTAATACAGTAGTTCTTTACATAAAACTAATACAGTAGCTCTTTACATAGAACTAATACAGTAGTCCTTTACATAAAACTAATACGGTAGTCCTTTACATAAAACTAATACGGTAGTTATTTACATAAAACTGATACAATGGTCCTTTACATAAAACTAATACGGTAGTCCTATACATAAAACGAGTACAGTAGTCCTTTACATAAAACTAATACAGTGGTCCTTTACATAAAACTGATACAGTGATCCTTTACATAAAACTAATACAGTGGTCCTTTACATAAAACTAATACAGTAGTCTTTTACATAAAACTAATACAGTAGTCCTTTACATAAAACTAATACAGTGGTCCTTTACATAAAACTGATACAGTGGTCTTTTACATAAAACTAATACACTAGTTCTTTACATAAAACTGATACAGTGATCCTTTACATAAAACTAATACAGTGGTCCTTTACATAAAACTAATACAGTAGTCTTTTACATAAAACTAATACAGTAGTTCTTTACATAAAACTAATACAGTGGTTCTTTACATAAAACTGATACAGTGGTAATCTACAGGCCTACTTATACTGTAATGGAGTTACAAACTGTCTTTCTAAATTAATCTAGAAATTTAGATGTGTTGCTATGCCATAAGTTTCTGACTTTTATAATAAAAGGACGTTAGTAAAACATAAGCCCATTTTGACAACCGTTATCTAAACCGTTATTTGACGAAAGTCTCTGTTTGTATGTGTCTGCTTATAATTGTGGCGAACCGCTAGACCGATTGTCACCAAACCTGGCTCTTACCCGTCTACACGCTGAACTTAAAACTGATAGAGGTCCGTAACTTGCTTCATCCTACACGCCTCGATTTCTTTGTTTTTTCCTATGTATCCTGGTCTTATTTCCTGATAAAAGTAATGTAGTACCTACGTATCCTGGTTTTATTTCCTGATAAACGTAATGTAGTACCTACGTATCCTGGTTTTATTTCCTGATAAACATAATGTAGTATGTACGTATCCTGGTCTTATTTCCCGATAAACATAATGTAGTATCTACGTATCCTGATCTTATTTCCTGATAAAAGTAAGAAGATACTTTATGTCATAATCTTTTTCCAGGTTAGAATATAATATCTGCTATGAACTTCTGCTCTGTTTTACTAGTGCCAATTAAAATGTAGTTTATAGTTGTGTACTCTGATACTTGTTTCTATCGGTTTCTGGTATTATTTCCTGATGAAAATAACAAGATAGCTCATTCCCTAATCTTGTATATTAGAATGTGAATAATATTATTTTTCTCAATTTCTCGATTTCTTTTTTTTATTTTTCCATCATTGGTGTTAGAATGTTACTACATTATGTTTATCAGGAAATAAGACCAGGATACGTACATACTACATTATGTTATCAGGAAATAAGACCAGGATACGTACATACTACATTATGTTTATCAGGAAATAAGACCAGGATACGTACATACTACATTATGTTTATCAGGAAATAAGATCAGGATACGTACATAATACACCATGCCTAGCGTCAGTAAAACATAAATGTTCTAGCCTTCAGGGTTGAGAGTCGCCTCCTACTTAGTGTACATCCCAAGATTCACGGTTCGTAGCATGTCGCCGTAAAAACTCGTCGTGGATACTTTAAAAGACGACGGGCAATTCCGAAAATTAGGGACGGTTTTATGTAGCATCACACGACATTCTGAAAATGGATAAATAAATAAAAACAGGAAACAATATCAGAATTTAAACAGCATTGTAATCTGCCTTAGGAAACTAGATTATGTATATACACCATATTATATCTCGTATCAGCAAACAAAGATGATGTAGTCATCGCTTGGATATTGTTTGTTTGTTTGTTTGTTTTGAATTTCGCGCAAAGCTACACGAGGGCTATCTGCGCTAGCCGTCCCTAATTTAGCAGTGTAAGACTAGAGGGAAGGCAGCTAGTCATCACCACCCACCGCCAACTCTTGGGCTACTCTTTTAACTACGAATAGTGGGATTGACCGTCACATTATAACGCCCCCACGGCTGAAAGGGCGAGCACGTTTGGTGGGACTGGGATTCGAACCCGCGACCCGCAGACTGCCAG